TCCACTTAAACTTGCGAAGAAACTTCTTTACGGTGAGGGAGTGAGCACTGGGACAGGCTGCCCAGGGAGGTTGTGGAGTCTCCTTCTTTGGAGACATTCAAGACCCGCCTGGACACCTTCCTGTGTGATCTTATTTAGGTGTCCCTGCTCTGGCAGGGGGATTGGACTGGATGATCTTTCGAGGTCCCTTCCAATCCCTAACATTCTGTGATTCTGTGAAAGGTTTGATGGCAGGATTAGTCATCTTGATAGTGAAGCAGTGGAACAGATTGCCAGAAGTGATAAGCAGTTTATCTAACAGGAAGCTTTTAAAATCAGGTTAGATATACATTTTTCAGGTATGACTCAGGTATAACTGCCCTGTCTTAGGATAGGTGCATGGTCTAGACAGAACCTTGAAATTCCTTCCAGTCTTGTCTGCAGCGTTCGCTTATTAGCGCTATCACCTTCCTCACTGTGAAATGGAGAATTTATCTTTCTTTGTCTCCTCGGTATGCACTTATCCTAACGTATGAAGCACTAGTTCCCTGTCTGCTTCCAACAAGCCACAAACTAGAAATTCTCTGTTAAACTATGCAGATTTGCAGTTTACATTACAAACAGCAGCATGTTTTGTTGTTTGTTGTGTTTGGGTTGGGTTTTTTTTTTGCAAACAGTGTGTGAAAGCAACAGGTAGGTTGCGTTTATATTAGTAAATAAAGCACAGTGGAGCAAATGGCACTGTATAGCTCAAGTGTGTATGCTGATAAACTCTTTCAACATCCTCCCCCCACCACCCTTCAAAAAAACCCACTCAAACCTAAAAATCAGTCTGGCTTTACCCACAGTCTCCATTAGAAATAACCCTACCCTCTGCTGTTCTGCACACCAAGCCCAAGTGTTGCCTACGAAGAGTTGCAGTTGGCAGGGGTTGACATTGTATTGAGAAGCATGCAAACCATTAAGCACTTGGCATGATTGTGAGACAGTGCTTGAACCCTTGTCCGGGCCCTATTTAGTTTACCAGTTGAGGCATAAACTAGTGTGTGTCATTCTGTTCTTTGAAAAAGAATTGATTTCATTAGACAAATTCAGGTAATTGATTTTCACATGTTAATGTTTGTAATAGTAATTATGTCATCAAACTCCTGTTTTTCTTCTGCCTTAACAGAGTTTAGGAGTGGAGACTGTACAACCTCCATCCCCCAGAGTGTCCAACAATGAATTTAGCTTTACAGTTGGTTTTAAAGATTTAAATGGTGAGTAGCTGAATGGACTTTTTCATACTTTTTATGCTTATTTAAAATACCCCACAGCAGCAAATGGGAATAAAAACTTCAGACACCCTTGATCAATAAAAAAATCCGAATTGAACCAAACCAAACCAAAAAAACCTATTTTGCTGGAGGGAGAAGTGTATTTGTGTGTCTCGATTTAGGAAACTTCGAAGGGGCCAAATTTTTTTTTTAAATGGACATTGCTCAGTCTTATATAGGAGTCAGAATTTTAAAATGTCTAAGTCTAGAAGAAAACAAAAGTGAGAAGTCCACCAAATTACTTTCTAAAATGCAAGCTTTTTATGTGAAGATTTAACTTAATGGAAGATGGAGTTCTCTTAAGTTCAGAACTGCATAAGCATTTTTGTCCAGTAGAAGTACTGGCTTCCGCTGCTTCCACTTTACATTGCTTATTCTCATTCTGGTTAACATTTTTGCATGTACAGATGTTTGTTGAGGCTGTGTGACAAAGCACATGAGCAAATTTATCCAAGTGTAAAAAAAGAACCCTCCTTTTGGTTTTGTTCATGTTTTCTTTTTTTCTTTTTACTGGGGGCTGGTTCTATACATTTACCTGAGTTGGTTTTAACCTGTGTTTGTATCCCAGAATCAGTTCACTATTAGCTACCTAACGCCTCTACCAGCAGAGAGGGTAGAGGTATGTAAATAGAAGGGATCATAAGTAAACTTTCCCACTGGAAAGAAAAGCTTATGAAAAGAAAGTATTAGCATAACAGGTAAAGCAGAGTAAATTGAGATGGTCTAGTGACATGTTCACACTTAGGCTGATGAATGATGATGGACTATATTAGCATTTTTGAGTATCTAGTTCAACACTCTCCATCCCTCTCCAAAATCCCACTCAAAGCTTTCCCAACTTGTGATTTTTTTTTTTTTTTTAACTAGACTCTTTAAAGAGATTTCAAGCACTGAATCTTTTGGTTCTTAAAGAACCCTTTTCTTCTCAAAAGTTAGATCATCTTACAGGATGTTATTCCACAGGATCTCTTATACCATGGGTAGTTCAAGTAACCAAAGAAGAAATTGCATATGAAGTTCCAGTATAGGATTTTATCTTCTACTCTCACAGAGTAGGAGACAGAAAGCAGAATTTACAATATTTCTCTCTGATTGATAAGATGCTTTTGAAAAAGAGATTATCTTGTTTGTTCTTTTGCTTAAATGATCCTCAAAACCCTGCATATTACATGAGGAATGTCACAGATGTTGATCACACAAATACTGATGTGCTACAAATGATACCATACAATTTCGTGTGTCTTAGAATTCTCTGATTCTGCCTCATGTTAATTTTAGAGTTGTAGAATAGTAGCAATATATGAAGATATTCTTGATCTGGGCCTCAGTTGCATGATTTGTTGTGTGCTATACCAAATCTTGCTAAGTATTTATGTTTGTACTTAAGTAAATGGCCTGATGGGAGCTAATGGAATTTTTTGCATCCATATCACTTAGTATGCACCCAGAAACCTTGCTGGATCAGGGCCAGGTATTGTAACATCATAAGGGCCTGAGACTGTGTCACTGAAAGTGAAGCTTCCTGTCCTGATTAATTTGTTTTCATAGAGTTCCTTGTACTCTGAACTTCAGTATGGCCAGATTAATGGCTATTCCTAAAACATGTTTATTTTCATGAACCCATTTAAAATGTTGTTTCCTTTCCCATAACCCTTCTATCTTTCAGTAACCATGCCTTCAGCAATTTAGTCTCCACTGATCTGGAAGCACAGTGTTTTACATTGCACTCACTGACACATTTTTTGGTTTTCTTTACAGAATCCCTAAGTGCCCTAGAGGACAAAGACCTGGATGCTTTGATGGCTGATCTTGTAGCAGACATAAATGATGTTGAACAGAGAACTTTACAAGCCCAGAACACTTCTTCTGGCAACCAACAAAGTATGGTCACTCAGCCTTCAAAAGGCTTGGATAGTGACATTTGTTCTAAATCAAGTCCCTACGTTACCATTACTGGATGGTTTGGGGATGACTTGCCCCCTCCACCTCCAGACCCTGATTTAGACCTTCCACCACCACCACCACCTCCTCCTGAGCCACTCACCCAGGTAAGCCTGAGTGGAACCTTGTTCTAAACATTCAGTAGTTCTTGTTATTTTGCAAGCAGTTATTTGGCATTGGAACAACAGTGGATCTCACAGGTAGAAACATCTTCGGAAGGTTCTGCAATGATGAAACATGCATGAACTGTGGAGTGTTTTCTGTTTTTGTGGGCTCAGCAATTTCTGCCTGTTCCTTGACCTATTGCCCATTCCTTTGCCTTTCTAATCATCATTTTGATAGCCCAAGACAGTCAAATCATTGGAAATGGTTTACTGTAACAGAAAACTAGTCACTGAATTTTTCTAATAAGTGCTGATCAGTTAATGCCTTCTCACAGGGAACTTGGCTTTGGCATCAGTGCAAAGCATGGCCAAAGATCCCACCATTTTATGAAAATGTCACTGTGTTTGTTCATCAAAGTCTGTGCTGTTGGTGCTGAGACAACTCTGTGGACGTTGCCCAGACCCGTCCCTGGCCTAACTGATTTCTTGCAATAGGAAAAGCTGTTCAATGGTGTAAAACTCAACATTTGCTGGGATACTGAGCGCAAGACTGAGCACAGGAAGTACCTCCGCTAATGTCAACATAGAATCACTTTGCTGTTCTTGGTCTTGTCTTTGAAGGGAAGCAATGAGCAACTTTTGCAATATGGGACAAATACTCTTTACTTAGGAGATGCCAAAGTTATCAGTAGTTACTATTTATAAACAATTGGCTTACTTGTAGACTAAAATTTCAGACTTACCACAACCTCCTCCATGTTTGTGTTTCTTGCAGATCTGTTGTAACAACTGAAATCAAACATGCTATTACTAGTATTAGCAGTAGAAGTTAATTTCTTTGACATGAGGTTGTGGAGAGGGAGATAATGTAAGAATTCTGCCCTGTCACAGCCCTGTGAGGAGAGTACATGCATTAGAAGAGTGATGTACTCCAGAAAACATGATTCTGAAAGAATGAAAGATCTATAAGTATCTATTTCAGCATTCATATGCATAGTAACTCTGACAGAGAGAGATGTTTACATTAAGGGAATGTGAAAAGTGCTCTGTCAGCCCAGTAGGACTGTACCGGTAGTTTTGCTTAAGACCATGGGCAATTCATTGCAGTTTAAAAGTCCACACAAACTGAATATGAATTACCCCAACATCACTGTTGCCTCTGTGTTTAGCATCATACAGCAAACATATTTAGCAAAAGGAACAGAAAATTTGGTAGGAAGAGGACCTTTCTGATGGCACAAAAAGTGATTCACTGGGTAAAGCTTCATTTGGTGCATAGGACCTTTCAGTGCTGTTTGAAGAGTGAAAGTTGTAAACAAGTGGGAGGAACTTCACCATTTTTCTATATCTCAAGATAATGGTTAACTTCCTGTCTTAAAAGGATAGCATTTTTTCAATATCAAGATAAATTCTATCCATTGTCTTACAAACATGTCCCCATTTTGATTTAGACTCATGACCTTTAAGGAAGTACCAAGCTTCCAAAGAGTCTGGTTTGGAAGCTGAGGAAGTATGGTCCAGAAGGGTAGCTGGTTAGGTGGGCTGAGATTGGCCAAACTGCCAGGCTCGATGTTAGTAATCAATGGTCTGGTGTCTGGTAACAAGTAGGATCAACACTGGGGCTTCTATTCTTTAAGATTTACAATTGTGACCTGAGTGATGACATAAAAAATCATCTACATGTGTGCTGAAGATGCTTTTAATTAAGGGCACTGACTGACAAGGTGAATGGCAGAATTTCAGTGCAGGGGGACCTTGAGAAATGTGAGGACTGGGCCACCAAAATCCTCAGAAACCCAGCAAGGTTCAAGGTCATGCACCTGGCGTGGAATAACCCAGTGCATTTGTACAGTTTGGGAGGCGACAGGCTGAGCAGTGGCCCTGCTGAAAAGGAGATGGCATCCTGGTGGATGCCACATTGAATAAGAACCATAAGTGCAAGGCCGTCTCAGTATGGGAAACTGGTCTGTATTGGGAGGAGCACGGCCAGCAGACTGAGGGAGCCATTGTTCCTTTCTCTTGGCACTGGTGAGGCCAAACCTGGAATACTGCACCCTGTTCTGGATGTAGAGATACTGGAGAGTGTCCAGCAGAGAGATGGCCAGGAGCAAGGACAGGCTGAGGGAACTGTGCTTGTTCAGTCTGACAGAGGAGGCTGGGGAGTGATCTAATGACAGCCTGAAAATACCTGAAGGGTAGCTACAAAGCTGGTGGAGCAAAAGTCTTCTGTGGTAGTGTTAGGTCATATAACAAGGGGTAACAGCTACATGTTGTAGCTTTGTAGTTTTGAACAGGACATTAGGAAAGCCTTTTCCCTTTCAGATGGTGGTCTAGCACTGGAACAGGTGACCCAGAGAGAACACAGATTCTCTTTCTTTGAAGTTTTCCAAACTTTGTCAGACAGAATCATGGCTGACCTGATCTAGTGTTGGTGATGATCCTGCTTTGGGCATGGAGCCAGACTATGGACTTCCAAATGTCTCTTCCAACCAGTGTTTTTACGATGCTGTGCTCTAAAGATCACTGAAATCAACAGTGCTGCAGAGTTCTTTTCCTTGAGTCTTGTACTGAGCTAATTCCCTGTGAGCTGGCATCCTGCATTCCCTGAGGGTCAAACAAGATTTCAGAGTGAAAAAAGGATATACTTGCTAAACACAACTGGAATTCTGTATGCAAAAAAGTAGCTGGAAGTCAATTCTGTCTCCCTCACTTAAAATGTTCCTCTAAAATTCTGTGCCGAGTTAAATACCCAGCAGTGTTTTCTGGTCTCTTTCCAGATACAGGGAGGGGGCAGAGAAGGATGGAAACAGGAGGTAAAGGCATTTCTATGGAATCTGTCTGCAGTACTTGATTTCCTCATAAAGGCACTGGTTCTGCTTTCTCCCGCAGCCCTTGCCTCATTTTCTGATACAGGCTGTATTCAAATACTGATGACATACCCATTGTGTGGCTTACTGTCCACAAAATTGCCTATAGGGCTATTATACAAGTGGCAGTGTGAGTGGTGGAGGTAATAACTATTTAAAATTAATATGGAAAGAACTGTCTTCATTAGCATTTGCTTTGACATGACATTTCTGCTCAGTAGAATGAAATGCAGCTGTAAATGGAATGTATTTTTTTTCATCAAAATCCACATTCCTGTTAGCCAGGATTCTTGATGAGTGATTCTTGAGCCAGTCAAGGCTGACATTTTGTTTAATGCTTCTGGTTGTCTGTAGTCAAATAAGAATAGTGTTAATTATTCCCAATGCACCTGTGATACTAAGACTATTCTCTAACCTTTAAGTGTGCCAAAATAAGAAGTACAGTGTTTCTTTCAGGGAAGCATAGAGCTGCCTCATAAATTTCCATCAGCTCTGATGTTGCTTTATAAAACTGTCCTTAAGCTAAATAAGGCTTCTACATTTTCTACGACATTATCTGGATGACTTTTATGTGCTTCTGTTTGAAGATCCAGAAAATGTGGTGACGATACTGTAGTGGGAAAACAAATCCGTTAGCCTGCCGTAGCATTTCTTTAACAGAGCTAAAATTTTGCATCTAATAGCTTATTTACTTTGCATCATTTCCTTTTTCTACATTAAGACAGACAAAGGTTATGAAAACATGAAGGCTCTCAGATGAGAGCTCTGTTGCACGGATTTGTACAATATGTGAACTCTCTTCAACACAGGTCACATGCAGGTGAAGCCTGAGTTATATCTGCCTAAAATTTTCAGCAAAAAGCCTGCCCACACCACACTCGACCACTCTGGTTAAGATGCTTTTCCTGCTTCCTGCAGAGAAGTGTTTTCAGCTGGTAAGGGGAAGGCCATAGTGTGAGAGGCTGTGTGCTCTTCCCTCTGTAGAACAGTCAGCCTTACTGCAAAAGCCACTTCTGTCTAGCAACTTCTGTTCAAATGCAGAAGCTATTTTTGGTTTCTCAAAGTTAAGCATCTCTGAGCTGTAGCAATGAAAATTTCCATACCTGTAGGAAAAAAAAAAGGCATTTTTTAACTGATATTTATAGTGGAGAATTTGACAACAGCAAACATGCTTGAAACCATCTCTTTCAGGTTGTACACCTCATCTTGTAGGGGAAATGGTGATAGAAGATGTTTAGTTCAGTGAGAGGGATGTCACTCAGGAGTGTTTTAGGTGTGGTTGAACCTACCTCAAAGCTTAGGATGAATAAGATAACCTCCTTTAGCTCTTTTTTGCTATGACTCTGTAATATCTCTGTAAGAACAAGCAGTGATAATGCTTAGTTAAGCCGAGTTTCTTGCAAGTGCATCTCCCATGAGTTACAACTATCCTGGGTTTCTCTTAGTCTGAAGACCACTAAAGTTCCGACTTTAGGGTAGAAAATGGAGGTTGAAGGTAACACAGAGAAAAATCTTGTGTGGAAGCAGGGCAGGAACTTTCTCCCACATCCACTGACTGGAAGTTGGGTGTGCCTGTGAGTACCATAGCACAAAATTTTACCCTTTTAAAACAAAGGAAACTGCAAAAGTGAGAGAAAGCAACAGGGACAGTAAAATCGGCAAAGAGGCAAGAAAGCAAAGACAAAAGTTTTCAATAGAGGGAGCAGGGATTTACTGAACCCTCTAGTAGTACTAGGAGTCCAAGGCAGCCCCAGGAACCACAGTTACTTGCTGTCCAAAATGTACTTTTCCAACTCTGTAGGTGACTGGGAGAGACTACTGAAAGACAAATGGCAAAAAGAAATGGTTGCCATCTATACACCAGTCACAGAGACAACAGTAGGAACTGGCACCTGGTATGTGCACCTAGAAGTCTCAGCAGCTGGGGATCCAGAGACTTCTTGGGTCACAAACCTCACTGATACTGCGAGAGGCATGATATTGATACAGCTGCTTTGTAAAAGAAGAGCTGAGTGATACTAAGATTTTTAGGAATCTTACTGTGGCATTCAGCAAGAGCTGGAATGAACTAGATTGCTCTGTCTAACTGTGTCTGTGTAAATATGAATAGGTGCATTACTAGAATAAAAAGCCATGGTATCATCCAATTTAAGGAGATGCTCCTCTCAGTAAGTATGTGTGCAGTAAGAGTTCGTATGTGGCAAGAGGAAGAATTCAAGTAAATTAATGTACCTAACAGAAAGCATAAAATTATAACTGGTATAATTGCACGCCAAGTTTTCAGTAAGATCCTAAAACTCTAGTTCTCTTAACCCTATTGAGAGGCAAGTTTTCTTCCAAGCAGCTGCATCCACAGTGCTCTTTCATTCAGGCTAGATCTTCCTTCACCTTCTCTTTTTTATCAGCTGTAATCCCTTATGGAAAAATAAAAGAGTCCAGTTGTCAGGCATTCC